CAAGTAATTGAGCTTACTACTAATGGCATCTAGAATAAGAGCCTTGTAAAGCCCTCTTTAAAGAATGTTTTAAGATGTGTAGTTGGACCGTTTATTTCACCACATCCCATAGCTTTCATGTCATCAACAGACTGGGATCATCTACCTGTGCGTTTCTGAGCTGTAGGGCCTTCTGAATAGAGGCAGGTGCCTGCACTGCCCCACTCATGACCAGTGCTCCACGACAAGCATGTGGAGTCCTCATTTACACAGTTACCCAAATTACATAAAAGTCCCAAAGCGAGGTGCAGCAAACTACTGGTTCAACTACTGTTATATTCTTAATATGAAAACTAAGTGAAATTAGGTAAGAAGAAAATTTGACTTAGGCAAAATCTGTTTCTAATGTGACGGGGACAATTTGAGTTGCAAAAATTGTCACATGGGAGTATCATTTGGAGAAATTTTAACTAATGCCTTTTTCTTTTAAAGAGAAGAGTTAAAAAAAAAAAAACTGACCCCTGTGTTTAGTTTGGTTTTACATGTGTTAGTTTGGTTTTGCATGTGTTAGTTTGAATTTATGTATCCTTTTCTCCCCTGTTCTGGGTCTTCATTACCAATCTGGTTTCTTTCTTCCTTTTCATTTGGATTTTAAAAGCTAGTTTGTTCACTTAATCTGTTCTCTTCCTGCTCTGTTGAAATAAGTGTAGTACTTTAAAATTACTTATTTTAAAGGAATTTGATAAGTATGAATCTAAAACATTTAGTTTATAATTGATTAACTTTACTGAATTCAGTTTATACCAAGATAAGTCATACTTGAAAAACATTTGCCTATCAGATAACAATAAACTGATTTATGTTAAGGCTAAGTTTTTTTAAACACCGAGAGATTCAGCTGTGTACAGTTTGCACTTTTAACCTAGAAACCTAAATTAAGAAATAAATACAACTATGAAGAATATAGGTGAAGTGCTGCCATTTGTAGATGAATATCAAAAAACTTGCACAGTTTTAGAGCTGAAGGGATCTTGGTGATCACCTCATCCAATGACCTTATTTTGTAGTAGAAAAATTCTGTGACCTGGGGATTGCTATTAAACTGTTAAATTTGGAGAATATTCGATTTTAGTTCACCTGTTTTTTAAGGGGGTAAAAGGGAAGATGATCTAAGGGTCGTCAGTCGTTAGACAGGAAATAGAGTGGTTTGTGACTCCTCTCTTTTTTAAGTCTCTTGTCTCCTTTTGAGTTATGGGAAGTTTAAAAAATCCTAAATTGCTAATAAAGAGAGAAGGAAGTTCAAGAACTTGGCCAGTTTCTTTGAAAGTTAGTAACGGAGCTAAGCTTAAAAGCATACCCTTGAATATCAGTCCTCTTCTCCGTATATGATCTCAATCACTGCAGTGCCTGTTTAGCCTCCTGAGCTGTGCTGCCCTTGCGGTGCCCCGGTGAAGGTGCCTGGGGCTGGGTCGGCTAGTGAGCCTGGGAGGGTAGCAAGCAAGTGAGGTAGCAGGAGGCAGTGTCTGAGAGTCCCTGGGGGGCAAAGAAAAGACCAGTGTCGGTGTGTCAGTTCTTCCAGGCCCAAGCCGTGTGTCGTGGTGGCAGAACCCTGTTACCAATGGGAACACCAGGTGTGTCTCGTGGTGGCAGAACCCTTTTACCAATGGGAACACCAGGTGTGTCTCGTGGTGGCAGAACCCTTTTACCAATGGGAACACCAGAGTTCGTGAACATTTCAAAAAAAGATGAAGCTTTCACTTAAGATTCAGTGACTTAATGGCTTGCAAAGGAGCTGACTCCTAAAGGTTTTGGGCAGTGCCAAGCTAGACTCTACAGCTTGCCTCAAGATAATGGAAACAGAAGCATTCAAAGTAGCTCTAGCCTCTTGGAAGTAAATGTAATACAAAGTAATGACTTGAAAGTTGTGAGGAAGGCTGTGAGGCTGCATTTAAAAATGCAGAACTGCATAAAAAGTAAGTGTTTCAGTGCTACATAAGTGCCATTCTTCCTTATTGAAAATGTTCACTGTTTTGAACTAGTTTCTGTAAGAATGAATTGTTATTTTAGGTAAATACAACTGTAAAACTGTTCACAGATTAAGTAAATGAGTTAACAATTTCTGTGTTTTATCATTTAGCCCTTGTAATAATTCTCTGAAGTGGTACAGTTATTATCTCCACTTTCAAGCATGGAATAGGAATTAGAGAAGTAACTTGTCAAGAAACAGACCAGTAAGAGATGGAGCCAGGACTTTGAATGTTAGACTCCAAACCCAAGCAACCAGCAAAAGTTACTGCCTCCTTTAACTAAACCCCAGGTCCACAAAATGTTACCACATTTATGTTTAATAGCCTTTCTTTATAAAACAGTTTACATAATTTACTTCCTAATTACTGACAAATATTAATGGTAGACTAAGAGTAACCACTAGTAAGAAAAATCAAAGAAATTCAGAATTTCAGTGAAGTCTGACCTCTTTTAAGTGACAGACTTGGAAAACAGGTCTCCAAGCTTATTGACACTCGATAGCAATATTGCTATGATAAGTTTGCAACATCTTTTAGTAAACACTAAGTAAAATTCAGTGATTCTAATTAAAACCACACAACGTAACAGGTTTATTTTAATTGTTTCACTTTGGAAATCTAGAGAAGCTTAATGAAGATGTAATATTTTACAAAGAAAATACCTAAAACATTAGATATGAACTGAAAATTCTTTACCAAAAATAATTAAATATGTAGAAAACATTCCCTTATTTGGAAAATGTCTCTTAATAGAAACCTATGATTCATTTAAAATGTACAGAAGGTAAGTTGCTACAAGTGTTTGTAGGATGCCACTTGAAAAGTTCCTATTTGAAACTTCAAGTCTTACTTTCTCCTAAGAAAAATTGAGTTACATCCATTTTATATTTTACTTTATAAAAGTTAATTGTATACTTCTATATCTAATTCAATCTCTCTTTTTTGTATAATCACTGTTAATTTAAAAAAAAATACAGCTTGTTTCAAATGGAAATAACGTGTAAAAGATGTGAAGCATTTATTCCTTGAAGGCTGGAACCACTTTTAAAGTATCATAAACACGTCTGTATTACATTACACAGGGAAAAGAATGTATGTATTCTGTGGCCTATGGGCATGAGGGTGACTAGTTTAGGAAAACTGAGTGTTTTGCATTTCAGGTTTCTTTCCAATATAAAAAGTATTCTATGATTCTCAAGTGAAGAATTTAATTGTGGTCATGCAAACATAAGTAAAGTTTTGGTTTTACAGTTGTTTTCTCACTTGTCACTCATTTCTTAAAAAGAAATCAGTTTTTGTAGTGTGCTCAGCTTTGCATTTTGTGAAGAAATTCTGTTTTCCCTCATTGAAAAACTATTGCATGGGACAGAGTTAGCCTACAAAGGAATCACTACACCAAGAGTTCTTAGTAAATGTGCTGCATGTCCCAGTCAGCTGCAAAGTGTGGTGCAAATAGTTTGTTGCTAACTAAGAAATACCAAAATTTGAATGTTTTGCTCTTAAAATTACAGCAGATTCAAATGTATCTCAGTGGCAGCCTCACTGTTGATCACTGTTATTTCAGTGTACTTTCTTGAGTGGAAGGAAAGAGGATGGTGTTCCAGCTGTCAGGCCTGGTATCTCTTGGTATATGTGCTTTGCATGTGAGTATCATCTGTCATCTGTGGAGATAAGAGATAAAAAGTTGGAGAACTGCTGCACTATACTGGTGGAGGTTCTGAAGTTTCTCCTCTTTGTCATGACATGATAGTCACATGCCAGCACATTCTCTTAAACAGCTCCTAATGAGCTAGCTGAAATTTACTCCTTTCTTCCTACCTCAGAGAGCAAGCAAGGAAGAATGCTAGGGGCATATAACTTTAATCAACTGAAAAAAAAATTGTTTTTAAATAATGACTTGAGAATTTCATACTTTAGAGAATATTAACATCTAATTTCCTGTGACACATTTACTGGCTTGTGTCATAGTGAAAGTAAAAGTTGCTCAGTCATGTCTGATTCTGCAACCCCATGGACTATACAATCCATGGAATTCTCCAGGCCAGAATACTGGAGTGGGTAGCCTTTCGCTTCTCTAGGGGATCTTCCCAACCCAGGAATTGAACCCGCATCTCCCGCATTGCGGGCAGATTCTTTACCAGCTGAGCCAGGAGGGAAGCCTAAGAATACTGAGGTGGGGAGCCTATCCCTTCGCCAGCGGCTCTCCGCAACCCAGGAATTGAACCGGGTTCTCCTGTGTCACAGGCAGATTCTTTACCAACTGAGCTATCAGGAAAGCCTAAGAATACTGGGGTGGGGAGCCTATGCCTTCGCCAGCGGCTCTTCCTGACCCAGGAATCGAACCGGGTTCTCCTGTGTCACAGGCGGATTCTTTACCAACTGAGCTATCAGGAAAGCCCAAAAAATGCAAGTCACTCGGTCGTGTCCAACTCTTTATAGATAAACTCCATATTTCTTACATTTTGTGCTTTTACCTCATTCATAAACTCAAACCTGTTTTTTTTTTTAAATTTCAAAATAAAGGAAAGCCAGATTTAATTATATGGTAATATAAATTTTGGAAAATATAATTTAGAATTAAATTTTAACTATCAGGGCTAGTTGTTTGGTTTTCTTTTAAGGCTCAAACTAAATATATTTGAGGATTTTGAATTTTTAGCTAGTCAGTATTTTATCCAAGAAAAATTCATGACACATCAAAATAGATATTATATAAAAGCCTTTATCCCTTAAGATGAAAATGAATAACTTATTCTAGAGCTTTCCTAGTGTCAAATTATTTGATATGCTTTTGATTTACTTTGGGACATCATAATAATAGCTCTTTTACCAGATTTTCTTAGCAGTGGTAAACTTACTATATTATAAGGAAACAGCTATTGAATTATTGTCATCTCCATTTAAAATTTTTTAATATAAGGGACTCATATTTTGTTTATGAGTAACGTCAAATAAAAGGGCATTTTTATTTTTGTTTTGCTTTTTTTCTAAAAGATATTATGAGCTGGATCCTGACAAAAGTCTCCTTGACAATTTGAGGGGCAAAGTGATCATTGAGTACCCAACATTACATGTGGTATTAAAAGAATACAGTAATGACATGAAAGTTCTTCACCAAGGTGAGTGTAAATTTCTTCCTGGTAACTTTTAAATAACTGGTGAAATTGAAACAATTACATGATTGTCTTTATATATTTTCTCACTGTATTTACACACATAACTGAATTTCCTCTGTAACTACAGATAATGCTATAAAGAAAAATATAATTGAGCTGTTGCTTCTGTCCTGTTTGAGAGCCTGTAGGCTTTTATCAACTTAAAATGAATGAATCACTGAATGTCTGCCTATAAAAAGATGTCCTTTCCCTCTTTGGAGTTTTCTGTATTTTGTGTTTTTCTAAAGTAATGATCTTTAAGTAACAGTCTGTCTAAGATCAGATAAATTTATTCCCTAGTTAAAACTCCTTAGAGATTCCTAAAATGAGAGATCACAAAACATTTTTAGTATTCTATACTTTTTCCTCTTTGGTGAGTAGTGAAGTTGGGAGGAAGTACCAAAACTGGAAATGGTATGTGTAAAATGTTAGTATATAAGATGATTTATCTGTATTTGCAGTTACTGTTGAAACTAATTATGTAGCTGAATGTAAATTCTAGAAGATGAATAAAATTTAAAAATTCTAAAAAGAAAATGAAGTTACTTACCTTAACTCAGAACTACTAGATAGCACTTTAAGCTAAGAATTATAGGTACAGGCCAGGTCTCATTGTAACTCCAGAGAACCATAGAATCCTTGGATGGAAATATATGGTTCAGGTTTTATTGTTATACCAGCATTATAGACTCTTAATAGGCAATAACCTTTGTTGTAAGGTCTTCTATGTATGTGTGTATGGTAACTTTTTTTCTTTGTGAAAGTTAATAGAAAAAAATTTTTTAAGCTAGCCAAATTTTGTCAGTGCCACAATTTGAAGCCAACTTTTTAATTGGCAAACATGAAGTTTCTAATAATCAATTAGCTCTCTAAATCTTTAGGTTAATTCTTGACTTTATGTTTTGTTTTGTTTACAATTTGAGAGCATCCATTTTTATTTTTTTCAAATTAAATTAGAAATTTCAGTACTGAATGGCCAGTTTCACTTTTTTTTTTAAACTGTGTAAAATCTTTCTTTTTCCTTAATATAATTCACATAGCTCTCTTTCTGTTGGTTTCAGGGAAAGTTGTTTAGTAATACGGGTTACTAGCCAGAGCAAACATTGTCTGTGTAAATAAACACAGCACACACAGCTCCTCTTTCACCTTCTTTAGGAATGCACATTGAAGTAAGGCTTCCTGTCACGAAGCAAAGAGAAAAGGCTACTTTTGTAGTGTACTTGGAACCTTATGAAGTAAAATTTGGTATTTTTTGGTGGTTGTTCGATATTTGACTTATTTACCTGAACCTCAAGTGACTTGCGCTTTCAGTATAGAGGATCATTTAGAGCTGCTGTAGCAGAGAACTGAAGAGGATCTAGCAGGATTTTTAGGACCACATCAGTGTTGTCACATCATGAACACATGCGCTCTAAAAATAATGCCAGGTCTTCCTGTAGATGCATTTCTTTGTGTAAGCACTTCAAGGTGGCTTTTTCTTTGTACATTCTCACAGCACTGGATATTCTACAGGGTGGTCCCTTAGTGCGGGGGAGGGCAGAAAGAAGGTGTTATATAAGAATGGGGCATTTTCTTTGGAAAGCCTTGAGATTTTTTCTCTCTCCAGAGGCAAAAAAAGTTGGATTTTGATCTCGAGTTCATAGCAAAGGTGTCTCTTCTAGTTTGGGGGATGTGTATTTCTGGCCTGGGATTCAGTTGTTTTCACATTTGATAATTGTTAAAATGTTTGTTATGAGTATAGATGGCCATAGTTTATTTTTTTAAAAGTCTGCCTCCGTCTGTGGGCAATAGACAAGTTTTGTTTGCTTTTGGCTTTTTATGAAATGGAAAAGGTTAAGCAGTTAATGTAGCCCCACTGGATTGGAGGCGTAGAGTGCTGCCCCCACACCTTGTATCAGTACAGTGGGAAGTGCTCAGAGTGGTGTTTCTTGTCTCACAGGTCCTGTTTACCAAACTTAGCTGGTAGATTTAAATAACACAGTAAAGGCATGCTACATTTCAGACTAAGGAAAAAAAAGAATAGAGCTCCATTAAAAGAAGAAAACTGGGCAACTTCAGTAAGCAGCAAAAGGAAAAGCATCCCAAACTGCAATACCAAACAGCACAAAGCCCATTAACTTAAAAAATTAGCAAAATATTTTTCTCTAATATAACTCAGAATCACAGAATACTTATGCCTTTTTAGGTTTCCCAGGTGGCGCTACTGGTAAAGAACCTGCCTGCCAGTACTGGAGAGGTGCAGGTTTCATCCCTAGGTTGGGAAGATCCCCTTGGAGGAGGCCATGGCAGCCCACTCCAGTATTCTAGCCTGGAGAATCCCTTGGACAGAGGTGCCTAGCTGGCTATGGTCCATAGGGTCTAAAAGAGTCAGACACAACTGAAGTGACTTAGCATGCATGCACACAACCCAAAAATGATTACTTGAATTAGTGAAAACACTAACATAGAAGTTACTTATATATCAGTCCTTTATTTATTTATTTAGACCATGACATGAGGCCTGTGGGACTTTAGTTCCCCAACCATGGATTGAACCTGGGCCCTCAGCAGTGAAAGCACTGAGTCTTAACCACCAGACTGTCAGGGAGTTCCCATATCAGTCTCTTCTTGGGCCAATAAATCCTTTCTTCCTTCCTCCTGCCTCACTCCTGCTTACCCCCTCTCTCTTCCTTTCTGTTTCTGTGGGAGAGGGGTGGAGGGGAGTGGGTTGGGGATGGAGTTCAGGCACAAGAACACATATGGTAACTTTACAGTGCAATAAGGTCTATAATGGTTTCAATCCTGAGAAAGCCAGAGGAGAAAACAACTAACTTGTATTATCATGGAGTGAGACCTGAAGGACTCTGCTATGAAGGACTCTGCTTGGATCTTTATGAACTTCTGTAAAGTTCCTATTTCAGTGCCTTCCTTGTAAAAATGGCCCGATGGACACCAGTTTGATTGCTGGTACAGTGTTACATCTAGGTACCATTGGCAAACCCAGGGAACTTGGCAATTGGAATATGAAGCAAGATCCAAATTTATGGTTCCAGCATCACCTCTTATTAGCTGGGTCCTTGGCATTCACTCTGCCTCTGAGCTTTATTTTCCTTACCTGCACAATGGAGATAAAGGGCTATAAGCCTCAAGCAAATAATCTGTATTTTAACCTTAACAGTTTTCAAAGTGTTTATGTGCTATTTCCTTTTAGCTTCCCTGTACAATAAAATAAATAGAGCAGTTATTCTGGTTCCCATTTTGCAAATTGAAAAAAAAAAATTTATAAGTTGGAGTAGCTTACAGTTATATTAATTCAGTATACATGCTATACTGGGGAAATAAATATAGGAGAGAAAGGCCCAGTGTCTATCCTCGTAGAACTCTCCATTAGTGAGTAAATCATAGTTTTGCTGTAGTCAAGACAGCTCCTTTAAAGGAGCTCCATTTCTGCTGTCAGTCTCCTTTCCTATGAAAAGAAGGAGATAGAGATTAGCTAGTCTTCTGTCAGCCCACATTCATTCACTATATACTGACCCTCAATTTTAAGTTTAAAAAAAAATCCTGGAAAAATTTATTCCAGCCACACTTGGCCAGCCTGAGTGATAATAGTGGTCTGTTCAGTGGTGCAAGTATCAGATCCTACCCACACTGTGAAGTGACCATTCCTGAGTCTTCCGCAGAGTCAGGAAGGATGTTACCTCACAAAATATAATTGCCACTTTCAGACATCATTTCTGTATTTATTGTGGCCAGAATTGTATATCTCAGCTGCCTGGGACATGACATGGTTTGTCTGTCCCCATGAGCAGAGCTGTTGGTATGAATCAGAAGGGGGGAGAGAAGAGGGAAACAGAAACAGTGTATACACTTGGCTGTCTCTTTACTTATTTTTTCAGTGAATAGTGGATCTACTAAGAACACTGGTGATGAAAATTGAGCACTTCTCTTGGAGGAAGAATGTGACCGTGCCCAGGTAGTGGCAGAGGACCCTGCTGGAAGATTTGGGGGTACTTTCACTTGCTCATTGGAAAGTTTTGTTTCTCTGAAAAGTGATTAAACCATCTTGGGGAAAAAAAATGTTTTAATGTATTTTCTAGCTTCCTGAATTGACTTGTAAGGCTCAGACTTTAATATGCTTTATTCTGTAGGCTGGAAACTTTGTTAGTTTGATCCAAGGATCCTGCGTTAGCCAAAAGTTGGCCTTCTCTCTAGCAGAACCTGACTAAAGAACGGCCATGTGGCACACCATCTAGCCAGAGGATGACTGGTCTCTCAGATGCCCATTCTTGTCTTTGGGATTTGTATGTAACTTCACCTCTTGAGACAACTGAATGGATCTTTTATACTTGGGTGGCACCTGGTATGATGTCCTATGTAAAAGGTTGTATAAATACTAGCAACTGCTATTTCTTACAGTCAGTTCAGAAAATCAGTGGCTCCACATTGTTGTTTAAACCATCAGTGCTCACAAATCTGGCTTTCCTTGTTCACACAGTGAGCTGTGTCTTGCTGTGAATTCTGTGCCTTTCACCCCATTCCAACTCTCCTCTTGACATTACCACACGGGGTGTTGTGATGAGCAGTTTTATGCTGTGTTTGGAAACATCTAGCAATAGCTAAAGAAGAAACACTTGGAACTCTTCAAAGTGCTTTTGGAATGTGTATGTGTATTTATGTATATACATGATTTAATTTATACCGTGTGGCAGCTCTGTATACATTATGATCTCACTTATCAAAATTAAAGTTTCCTAGTTTTATTGGAATTTATAGTTATGAAATTGCAATATGACTATAAAAGATTATTACATCTGTATTGCATCTGTGTATTTAATGGTTAAGAAAACAAGTGATAAAATTGAATATCAGTGAAATTCATTTTTAGTTTACAATTAGGATAAGTTTTAGACCAAAAAGAAACCAGAGGTATTCATTAAAAGAGACTTGGAAAGATGAGAAATATGAAAAGATAATGAAAACATTATAAGCACAGAAGAACTTGTAGAATACAAATATATGTAATTTGGGGTAGAAATTGGAGAAGAGCATCTAAAGACAGTAATGGCCCAAAGACCTTTGATATAGAGTAGTGGTAGAAATGTGATTCATAGACAGTAAGGGTTAAGCATTTGAAAAATACATATACTTCCTAAAGCAGCTTCAGGGATCTTCTCCTCATATATAGTTAAAACTTTGCGTAGAATTATATTTTTCACAATAATTACTGAATTGACAACTAAATGGGATTTCACACTCTTAACAGTGAGATTCAACTTCTTGAGACAGGCAAGAAAGAGAATGAATTGAATCAAACGTGTCACAGAATTGTTATTGGGAAAAGTGGGATAAAGTACACAAAAAGAACACGTGATCTGAGTATTAGGGTGGAGAGGAATTTCCTGACAGTGAAATCTGTTATGATGTAGTCTCATTTCCAAGAAAAGTGTTGAGTTCCATCCCGTCAAGAATTTAAGTTGAAAAACTGGACAAAAACCAAAGGATTTATCCTGTACTTTCCCTCCCCGAGAGGGGGGAAAAAAAAAAAACAACAGAAAAACCCCACATGATCTAACGCATCTTTACCGTATCTATTGTCTAGAATTCTGTTAGACTTTAAATTATGGACTATTCCTTAGGAAAGAATATAGCAGAGTTCCCTTAATATAACTCTATCATTTGATTAATATGCACATTTATTCCCACAGAATTTACAGTAAATGTGTTTTAGTGAATAACTATGTCAACTGCTTGGATGGGGTAAACTTGGAATAATTCACTGAGAGCCCTTTAAGTTTGTAGCATTAAAACCCTATTTCTTTTTTAGAGGCCTTCACCAGTTTGGATTCCTGACAAATTCTGATGAATAAACAAACTCCCTGACCCATGTTAAGTTCAACATCCTGCATTTCATTCACAAACCATATTTTAAAAGGAGAAAGGCTCCACCTGGCCTTCTTTATTTTTTAAACAATGATTTCAAAGGCAAGGTAGGCCTTTCATAATTGCTAATTATTACATATGGGATTAATAGACATAAATTTACAGTAAACAAAACTTGCACCTGTTCATATTATAAATAGGAATTAAAGAGAGTTACTATAATATTCCTAAGTGTAGTTGAGCCAATTTGTTTCACTGTAGCAAGTGATAGGGTTCAGGTTTCATGATGTGTAGTGAAATGCTAAACATAAAATACCAACAATTTACTTTATATGTTTTGTTTAATTTGTTTGGCATATGCAGTGTGTTGTACCTGATTTCATATCAGGCATTACATTTTAAGTAAAGATAACCTAAGCTGCTTTTATTTAGTCATAAATTACTGTATTAAAATGTGTTAGGTTTATTTTCAGGTAGGTATTGAATACTTTTACTAACCAATCATCCTTCAACTGCAAGTGTCAAAAACTCAAACTAGTATCAGCATGAAAGGCAGTTTATTGACTCCTGTGCTGGGAAGTCCAGGCATGACTGGGTCCAAACAACAAAGAAGCCATCTGTCTTTCCATCTCCCACACTTGACCCTGTTTTTCTTTTTTTTCCCATGGATTGGTTTTCTCTGCCAGGCAAACTTTCTCTTTGGGGATGCCCACTTTGGAGTGGCAGGCAGTGAGGTGAGGATAGTAGATGACAGCTGTCGACAGTTTCAACTTACATCATCATACAAAGCTTGGCAGCAAATTATGTAAAACTGGGGGTAAGAACTTTCATTTTAACCAGATTAGATGACATTCTATCCCTGAGCTGATGAGGAGTTCCCCCAAAGGAAGGGGAAATTACCAGAAAAAGGAAGGGTGTAGGGAACACTAGAGGAAAGGTGGTTCCTGAGAAGACAAAAGAAACAAAGAGATGTCCATTGCACATTTATTGGAATTTGAGTAGCAGGGGGTTTCTGATTGTAAATCACATAAGGAGTAAAATTCAGAATTAATCTGCAGGTCTTCATTGGCTTTAACTAGAGATTTTAGTTCCTACTTGTGCCATTGCTGCTGAGTTGCCATTATAGGCTTTTTTTTTAATGCTTCCCATTTGTGTTTGACATTATGTTGCTACTGGTTTGATCAGATGCACCGAGCACCAGTCTGTTTCCAAGATGGATTTGGAAATTGCCAGTTTCGTCAACATATGAGAAATACTGATTTTGAAATTAGAGTTGTACTGGAGGATAATGCGTCAAAAAAATGAAGACTATTTTAGTATAAATAGACCCTTAAACCTCTGAGGATCTGTACTTCATTACAAAATATTTTCTTTTAACTTTGGTCAACTGAAAGCTATCTAAAGTATGTGTGCGTGTTCTTTAAAATGAACTAAAATGTGGACATTTTCCATATTGAAGTGTGGTGGGCTGCACTCATTTTGAACTTCATAACCAAATGCACCCTTTAGCCTTTGATAAGCTGCTACACAATTCTGCTATTGCCAGTTTTGTTTTCTTAATGAATACAATACCACTTACTCTTCATGACTGGGCCCCGACCTAATTTTACAGCCATTTCTTTCCTTCATCTCCACCCTTTAACTTCAGTCTCGTAAAACAACAAAAACACTACCATATATACATCCCAAGCATTTCCCCCCCCGAAGTGCCTTTCTGCTTGTTCATAATCTCCATATGAGCATATTCTCCCTACTCTCAGACTCAGCTTGACCAGCCATGGCTGTGAGCCTTTCATGTAGAACCCATAGTCATGTTCACACTGCATGCATCTCCTGATAGGCAGATGCTCATGCCACACTGGTTGTTAAGTGTTTTTAATATCACACTAAAAATAAGGCTAATAACTGGTATATATTAATAGCTTACTAAATACCATGCACTGTTCTGACAATTGTGAGCCAGCCCTATGTCGATCTTGTACAGCAGGAGCCCAGGAGTCTCGCAGGCTGTCAGTGCCCATCTCAGCACCCTTCTCTGAGATTAACTCACCCTCTGGCTCCCCACTTCCAGAGACAGCCTGCCATCTCCTCACCCACCTTCACCCTGTCTTTCATGTTCCTTGCCTCAACCAAGAGTTGGGATTTGAGCCCACGTGCATTTGTGAACAGGGGCTCAGGTGGAAAGTGGAACTGATTCATGTTATGGTAGACAGCATTATCGACGGGGTTTACAATAAATCCATTTTACAGATGAGAAAACTAAGGCAATAGAGGTTCAAGCTTATCATTAGGTCACACTGTTAAATGATGAATGATGGGTGTTCAATATTTGCCTTCTCTTAATTCCTCTCAGAACCTGGTGTTATCTTTCTTCCTGTCTATATAATTATTGCTAAAACTGTTGTTTAAGTGGTCTTGAAGACCAAATCTCTGGTTGATAATTATGACACAATATCAAGCAGTTTCTGGCATAAAGTAAGACCTCAATAAAGGCTGGATATTGAGATAAGTTGGGAGAAGTAGGGAAGCTCTCTAGGTTGAAAACAAATTTTTAAGGTTTTGTTATAGATTGATATCTCTCAATCTATAGCAAAGCCCCTGACTGATAAGCTAATATTAATGTCTAAAAGCATAGAACATAGACACCATTCTAAGCACGTTAAAACTGTTAATCACTGATTGCTCACAATCCGGTGAGGTAAGTACTGCTGTGTTTCATTGACTCCACAATGTCATTAGTGAGAAGATGTGCCATTTTATTAACAGAAAACAATGCTGCCAATTAAACTGAGACAATGCTTTTTAGAAAATGTAGAATGCTTATGCAAAAATCTCTGTTAGGCGTTTTATTTCAATAAACTTCAGACTTCGTCAATTGTAAGACATACCATTTTGTATAGCACTAAGAATAAAAATACAAGGCTCAACAAATTGTATGACACATCCTGACTTGAGATGTTAAAATATGGAAAAAATAGCTAGAATTGATGTAATGTGATATTGAGACAAACATATCATTCTATGCTTATATTTTAAACAAGTGAAATTAACTGGGTA